TGTTGCTGTGGTCTTCATTTCATCCTCTGCTCTCCCTCAGTGATCTCCGATGCTTTCATCCCAGGTTTAGTTGGTAAAAGGGCGCTGCTGCCCTGCTACTCTGGTTTTCCAGCTGATGACGTCTTATGGAGGGACAAAGATGACAACAATCTGCTGGACATCAACAAAGACACTCCCAACCCAAAGCGCCAGCACCAGAGGTATAAAGATCGAGTGACCTGGTCCCAAACAGAGTTCAAGAAGAGAAACTATTCCATCAACTTGCAGAACCTGGAGCAGGAGGACAGTGGAACCTACGAATGCACCGTCATCATTGATGGTGTGGGAACACAAACCAAAATAAAGTTGTTGGGTGAGTTGATTTCTCTCAGACGTTACCTGATGCAACAGTTTCTGAATGTTTCTGTGGTTCAAAAGGCTAATTTGTTGTTTTCTTCCCAGTTCAAGAAAATATGAAGAACTCAGCAAGTTGTGTGTACAGCAGACGGATTGTCCTGCAGACGTTGGTCCTCTCTGCTCTCAGTCTGATCATCTACTTCTAGAGACTGATGAGGAAACTCATCAAACCAGGACATGGAGTCACAGCTCCACACTTTTATATCTGGTCTCCATTTTATGTCTGGAGCAGAAGGTCAAGAGTTCATGTCAGTCCTCCATAAACCACTGGAGCTGTTACTGATACAGAATCAATGCTGAGATTATTTATTTGTAAATGTTTTAAAAGAAGGGGCAGAAATAAAAAAATGATTGAGATAAAGGGTTTTAGAGAGTTTTAATTGAACGAAACTTTAACAAAAGGCTCAGTGATTCTGCTGAGAAGGATCTCTCACCGTTAGCTTCCAGCCTCTTAACGTGCCCCCCCTCTGAAATGCCCCCATGGGCAACCACCCATATACCTATATCAACAAACGCCACTACCTGAAAAAGAGCCATAAAATACACAATAATAATGAGCTACGTACTAATGTATCTGCTCAGTGATCATTAAGGGATCACAAAGTGGCAAAGAGTGAGAATCTCATCCAGAAACAACAGCAGCACCAAAACAGAACCCTGAGGAACACCACAGTGGACCATGAAACCTTATTTCACCATCAACACGTTTCATGTTTAGAAGCTAGCTAAACAGCTAGAGCATTAGCTTTAAAGAAAGGGAACAAAAAGTATCTGAAGAAGCCTCAGATCACCAAATGTGGGCGGAGCCACAGGAGGAAGTAGTTTCTGCACTTCCTGTAGCAGCTGGATGGATTTATGCTAACAGAAACCAGGAGATCAACAGCTGAGAGAATCGGAGATCAACTGGGAACATGAGGAGCCACAAAACCAGCAAAATGGAGCTGACTGAGCAGCTGTCTCCGAGCGACCCAGATTGGTGAGTATTTGTTATGTTGTATTATGTATTTGTTATGTTGGTTGTGATGTCATGAGCATTTTGAGGTTATTTTACAGAGAAATCCTGATTACAGATTCCATCCATGTTTTAATTAAAATGTTTAATGGAGATCATTTCATTGATATTTGTTTTGGGCCGCTACATGGTTAGCATGAAGATGATAATTGAGGCTTGAATAGCTTTGCTCATAGGCTAATTGCTTTTACCACAAGTTGAACACAAGAGCAGACTTTTCCAGGATCCAATCAGATTGTTTAGAAGCAGAAAGTAACCCCAGTTGGAAGAGAGAAGTGGCTTCATCCTCCATCGATCTGGTTTGTACGTCAGATTTATGGACGTACCAGAAACACATGAGCACAAAAGTTCCTGCTGGGAACATTTGTTGGTGAAAAGAAAATTTGATTTATGTTACTGTATTTAAATAATTTAAATGTTTGTGAATTGAACTGAATTAATTTTAATCAATCATTTGCTGATGTAAACAAACTGCCTGGGATCTGTTCAAAGGGCGTCAGAACCAAGCTGATTGCGTTGCGCGTTCATTTCAGAGTCATCTGACCAGAGGACAGGAACAGGAAGTTCTTCACGGTAAGGTTGAGTTTTTCTACCTTCTGATTAGCCTAGCTTGTTAGCTAGCAGTGTGTAGGCGGATTACTTAAACCTGACCAACCTGATCGCACCAACACCACGGCTAGTTTTTAGCATTCAGCTTCACAAATCTGGAACAAACTTCCAGAAAACTGCCAAACAGCTGAAACACTGAGATCCTTTAAATCAAGGCTAGAAATGGATTAACGTTCTTTTGAACGAGAAAATGTAACGTCTGTCATTGGTTTTAATTGTTGATGGTGTAAAACCATGCTTCTGAAATGTGCTATGCTAATAAGCTTGCTTGATTTCTTGATTGATTGATTTGATTTCATTACACACCAGAATCTCCCCTGGTTAGTTTCCAGGTGTCCAGCTGTAACTAGATTAGCAGAAGATCAGATTAGTTTTAGCAGAACTTTCCGGTCCACCATGAGGTCCGGTTCATGGTGGACCAAAGAACCGGGTTCTGGTGGGTCAGACCTCAGGAAGGAGATGTTTGATTCAGAGTCAGAGGAGAAGAACAAACTGATGGTTTCGAGATGTTTGGACCGTCAGAACTCTGGTGAGTATGGCAGGTAGGTCACCAGGACCGGTTTCTGGTTCTGTTCCGCCCCTTCTGGACCGACCTGCTGTAATAAATCTGTCACTGCAGCAGAATCTCAGGTAGGTGAGTCACTAAAATGTTCCAGCAAACTGGGATCCTCTGGAGTAAAAGCAGCAGAGAGACGAGAAGCAGCAGCATGTGAGCAACTCCGGGCCTGCAGGCCCGATTACCTGGAACCAGAACTCCAGAGACTAAACAATGCTAACGGAGCAGCTGGCAACACGCTCCTCAGAGAGCAGCTGATCTGGCCAGTTTAAACAGTTCAGGCTGAAGCTCCACCAGTCAGTCTCTTTGTTTCCGTCTCTGGATGAGGAAGTTCTGGGCCTCATAAAAACAGTTTCCTGCTTGAACCCGACCTACCAGCTGATCCAGACGCTGAGCGGCGGCTCAGTCAGCTGACAGAGTCCACAGTGCAGCAGACTGGGTGTGACCAGGTTCACTTTCTACTGTAGTAATCATGGCAACCTGCTTTCAGCTCAGACTGGGAACAGGAACTGGAGTTCATTTGGAAACCATCAGAGTGTTTTCTAAATTATCATCATTTTAAGAATCAAACAGTAATATTTATTTCACATCCAGTAAAGTTTATTAGTAAAGATTATTTACATGAAGTGATTTTACATTGTTGTTGGTCTTTTTACATAGAGCAGTGGTTCCCAAAGCGTGGGGCGCGCCCCCTAGGGGGGGCAAACGAGATGTGACTGAGGAATCAGTCACCTGAGAAATGACTGATTAATAGGATTTAGTTTTAGGGTTGGGTTAGAGAACGCCGTTGACTGGAGGTAAAGGCTGCTTCTTATTGTTGTTTGGTTATTTACGTGTTTGTCTAACCTTAAATCTTTTGTGTGTAGGTTGGCAGGATAATGTACATTTATCTTTTGTTTTAGTTTGACTAAAATAGTTGATCTTTGGTAGTTTATTGATGAAAAGTGTTTTTGGAGGGGCTTTGTTTAGGGAAAGGGCTCCTATTTCTAGCCCTCTGGCGTCTATTAAAAAGGAAGCTATGCTGTCCTTGGGTCCCAAGCTTCTTTATTGAGCTTGAAGGGATTAGTGGAAGGGGATGTTTTTTCACATCCAGTAAAGTTTATTAGTAAATATTATTTACATGAAGTGATTTTACATTGTTGTTGGTCTTTTTACATAGAGCAGTGGTTCCCAAAGTGTGGGGGCGCCCCCCCGAGGGGGTTGCGCAAATATGACACGTGAAATGCAAATGATGAGCTAGCGTCTGTGGGGCCCAGCGCCCCTCAGTTTACGAGAAAAAAAAAACAAAAATAAAAAGATTAAGTTAATCTTTTAAAAGCATAACACATATGTCAACGTAATGCATCGATCATTCACTTTGCATGAACCTATTATTTGTCATGGATAATGACTGTGTAATGACCAGAGTAGTGGTCACTGATCTATGTGGTCACATAGATCGGAAATTTTAACACGATATGCCACAATGATGCACTACACACAGTAAAGTACACTGGATTTGGAGTTTGGTTCTCAAAAAAAAAAGGATAGATAAGAAATACAAAACGAACATCCCTGTTCTCACCAGGTTTTTGTGTGAAGAACACCCGGCGTATTTAGTTTGTGTTTTCCTTACTATTCCTCCTCAAAGCAGGCTATTTCATTTAATTGGATTTGAACCCAAGGTCACACTTGTTTCCAGTTCCTTTTAGACACCAGGTCAAAGGTCACAACAATAACGGTTTCTACTTTTCTTATTTTTCTGAAGAAGCTCTGAACCAATGGTTGGTTGGGTCTGGTTTAAAAACGCCCTGCTGGGGTCAAGTAGAGGTCAACATATCTGTTCTGGGAGTTCATTTCTCCTGAGATTCATCTGACCCACATGAAGAAGTTACCTGGAGCAAGAGAGAGGAGAGGAAATGGATTCAGATTCTGACCCACTGGGTCAAACAGAACATCATTCATTACAGGGAAACCTTATGAATGATGTTCAGGAAACGTTCACATCGTGTGGAACAGATGAAACCATAGAAAATGTTCTGTTGTGATGTGGAACAGAAAAGAAACTGATTCACAACCTGGGGAATCAGGAAGTTAACCTGCATTGTATGAAGGACCTCCTGACCAGATGGTGGCAGTAATTCACTGTATTGTTGTCTAGGAAGAAGAACAAACAGCCTGGGTCCTCCAAAGGTTGCTGGCTCTGGTGTGTCCTTCGCAGCCCAAACTATCCCAGGATGCATTGCGGGCCGACAGTGTTCAATTCTGGCAGTACCAAAGTTAAAAGCTTGTTGTTACGGGCTCTTGTCGTTTTAATAGACATGTTTGATTTTTATTATAGTTTTTGGAAAATGTTTTTTAATCAGCTGATTAGCTTTATTAATTGTATTATTATTTTCCCTCTCAGATCATTGATGATCACACTCTAGTCTGGTAGGTGGCGGTAAATGCACCTTAAGTTGGTTGCCACCCGCCAATTAAAAAACAGAAGAAGAAGGAGGAGGACGCTGCATCCCGGGTTGTCGCTGAAGAATACGTCATAATGATGCGACATACTTTTCAAATAACCCATTCACTTCCGGAAACTCCTGTTGTTTAGCTATTAAAATCTAAAGTTAACCGTTAGCGGTTTATTCAGTTTCTACAGACTCCAAAGAGCCATGAAGTCACATATCAAATGGTTTGTTGTTCCGGTTGCTTAAAAACACAGAAAAATGTCTGGAATGTCGAGCAAACGCTAATAGCAGAAGTAGCATGTTAGCTATCAGGTTAGCTAACTAGCTAGCTTCTGCCACTGCTGTTATTGTTGTCCGTTACTGCTGATTCATGCTGTTACTGCTGTTAGTCCATCGCCAGGCAGTTTTTGTCCGTTTCAGGGGGGCGAAGTTTATCAATACAAATCTCTGGTTAATATTTTGGTATGAAAGCTCTTCCTAATTGGTAGCTGAGTTGAGACTGGTGCATGTCTGCCATGGTGTGGACATTGATCAAAGATCTATCATGAAGTTTGGTGTCATCTTAAAGGGGACCCTCTTGGCTTTCATTTAAACCAGGTTCTGAGTCTCTGAGCTCATTAAAACAAAAATAATACACATTTTTTACTCTTTTAGAACAAACTAGATGCATTTCTTTTATCCCAGTAAAGATGTACGCCTTAAGCTTCAGGTGATCTACAAACAATTTGTTTCCATCCATTCACTATCTAACACAATTATTCTTGTGGTTCTGGAGGAGGGGCCGGTTCACCCTGAAGTCCAGACCAGTTAAGCTGACTCATGTCTCTGGCCTGTGGGAGGAAGCTGGAGTACCCAGAGAGAATCCAGGCTCAGTGAGAACATGCAGACTGCATTCAGTGCCATCATGGATGGAATAATCTGGTTACCTCATAATGTGCCTGACCTTTGACCCCACCAGCTGCAGTAACCCCAGATCATAGCCTTTACAGGCTGCTACAGTAGACACAAGGCATGATGGGAGTTCATCTCACTCTGAAGCACCCATCACTGTGGAAGAGAGGAAACCTGGACTCTTACTTGTCCTCCGTCATGTGGCATCACTGTCAGGCGTCCAGAACCTCGGCGCACATCCAGATTGTTGATCACGTCGTGTTCTGGCTCTTTCTGGTTAACACAGAACTCACTAGTGTTCTGGTAGAAGAGGAAAAACCTGCTGGTTGTTTTGTGTCACCAGTAAAGATTCAAACCTAAAATCCTGATGATGATTCAGATGAATAACTGAACTTTGTGTTTCTGCAGGATCCAGATTTGCATCTTCACCCTTCTACATTCTGGTAAGCAGTGACTCATTTCCTGTTGGTTTTGGTAGCAGCAGTCATGTTTAAAACGGTGAGAGAGCTCAAGGTTATGGAGAAGTTCTGTTATGTAGTCACTCTCAACGCCTTATGTCAACACAAAGTCTAGAGTACGATGACAATAGAGGGCAGGACTGTGGGTTCTTTGAATGAAGCCGTTTCTGTCTGTGGGATCAGACTACTACCTGCTGGTGTCAAATCTATTTAAAGCTAAGATTCAAATCTTGTTTCCCTGTTGCCATGTAACCTCTTTTTAGCTCCATTTTATACCCAGATCCTAAACCAGAGTGTTTATCTTCCTAAAGTAGAGACACATACTGTTTTCAGAAAAGCCTGATACCAATCAGCAGGCAGCATCCTCTTAACTGCTGATACATCAACTTGTTTATATGTGATTTGTTCATTGGATCTGTGATTGATACAAATGTGTTCAACACTTTTTATTCTGCTAGTCTTATTAGCAGCATCAAACATTCAATGAAAATTGTATTTTCATGATTGTGAAAATACAATTTCACAATCACGGTGTTCCTGTTAAGTAAGTAACACAATTAAAGTCACTCATGAATAAGTTTAAGTCATTAAGAACATGCTGTGCCAACACACCTACCACTTCATGTTGTCTTGTTTTCAGTCAGCAGTAACATCCGGCTGTTAATCATGTGATTCGAGTGACGTAAAAAACTGTTTATATTACAGTTTTACAAAATAAACTAATTCCTGTACGGCTGAAAAACTACCTCATCCTATCACCAAAACTTATCAGAAACGTGTTTTTTATAAGTTGCCATGTTTCTGTTCAGTACATTGATTGTTGTAATTCCAATTTATCTGCAATTATCTGGTCAATGGAAGTGTAGCTGCTGCTCTGGTGCTGCTGTGGTCTTCGTCTCATCCTCTGCTCTCCCTCAGTGATCTGCCAGAAACTCACAGGCTTTGTTGGAGAAAGTGTTCTGCTGCCCTGCTCTTCTGATAACCCTAAAATGGCGAACGTGTTCTGGAGGGACGAAGATGACGGGGTTCTGCTTGACATCAAGAACGGTGTTGAAGACTTGAAATATCAGCACAAAAAGTTTAAAGGTCGAGTGTTCAGCTTCCCAACAGAATACCGGAACAGGAACTACTCCATCACCTTGAAGAAACTGACGCTGCAGGACTCTGGAGTCTATGACTGCAACGTCGTCATTGACAACAAAGAAAATACATCCAGGATGAAGTTGGAGGGTGAGTTGATTTATCTGTGAAGCAGCAGAGCAGAAATCAGTCAGAAAGGTTTGCTGTGAGTCAGACACATGATGATGCACAAAATTCAGATGGGGTCACAAAATGGATTTCTCCAGGTCAAAACAAAGCGCAATAGATCACAGCGAGTAGCTAACGCCATCGATAGGCTGAAACAGATGAGGCATGGCAAAAAAATGTGCAGATATTGTCTCAGTAAAAAAGACTTCTCTTATAATCTTGAGGATTTACCCGCATCCAGGCAATGAACATAACTAACTACCTGGAGCTGCAGACCTCACATTACACCATGCACCAGAAGAACGTTTCAAAAGCCTGGAGAATGCAACATTTAGTTTCAAGTTGGGTAAAATTTTGGGTTAAAAAAATCATTAAATGACTTGTTTCTGCTGGGTAAGTAGTGAATTCTGCCATTTTAAGTAATTAGTCTATGATAACGATGCTATCGCTAACAACAAACTAACCCATGTGCTTGGATCCCCTGGTAAATCATTTATTTAGCTTCTGCAAACCCAAATTGCAGCTGGAGTTGAGTTAATGTTGAGTCGTTGTTGGATTCAGCTCCAGTGTAGCTCAGCCATTCTGTGATCTACAGAAAAGCCATTAAAACATGATATATATCATTTAAATAATTTACATATGTCCTTCTAAGTAACTGTCCAATAAAACATCTGAGAATATAATTTAAATGATGAGATTGTTTGCTGTAAACTCTGGCATTGTTAGTTTCTGCACCTCCAGTTTTCAGCTGTAGATTCTTGATTCACTTTTCTCCTCTTTTTTCGGTAAGTTTGTTCAAATTTCCTCCCCTGTGACCGACTGCCTTTGAAACACAAAAATAAGGTTTATCTTTCTCTCTATTCGGACGGTTGGAACAACAGTACAGGACTCAGACTTTAGGCATTTTGATGCTGGATCAGCAGAAATAATCGGGCTGCATTTACTTCCTGCCCTTCATCTGCTTTGGGTGACATCGGTGCTACGTCGTCTGAAACCCAGCAATATTTAGACATTACCTGATGAAACACAATGAAAACTCATCCCACATAATCTGTTTACTGCTCATTTCTGAATGTTTCTGTGGTCAAAAGGCTCATTTGATGTTTCTTTCCCAGTTAGAGAAGCTGTGAAGATCCCAGGAAATGGTGTCTCCAGCAGGCGGATCGTCCTGCCGACGCTGGTCCTCTCTGCTCTCAGTCTGATCATCTACTTCTAACAGGAAGTTCAAACATCTGCTACAGTAAACATTGTTTAAGTTCAACTTTCAGCAGTTTCTAGTAGTAAACCGCAGACTAAGTTACCATCTTGCACCTGTTGCCATTTTATGTCCGTAGAAGTTAAAACCTCCAGTCAATATTCTGAAGCCTGGCAAGAAAACTGATCAAACCAGGACAAGAGTCACAGCTCTCCAGTTTTATCTGGTTTCACCTCTAAAGCTGGAGAATGTAACTTTAAAAAGGTTTTTCACATACTTGTTAAAACTGTCAGCTTGTTATGACACAATCTTAGAAAGGATCGATCTCCTCTGTCTTCTCTGAGCTGCTACTGAACAAATGCACTAAAGCAACCAAGCAAGGGGGAGGGGCTTAGTGCCGTCAATCAACCTTGTGAATGTGCTGGCTCTGATTGGTTGCTTCTTCCTGAGTGGTGCAGCAGCACTGGGAGAAAACAGGAGATCGATCTTTGCATAGATTATCTGTCTCATAACAAACTGTCAGAACCTGGAGACAGACTTAATAAATATGGCAAAATATACTTTTTATTAAGTTACATACCACAGCTTTAAGGAGAAGGTCAAGAGTTCATGACACTGGAGCTGTTGTTTACAGAATCACTATTAAGATTATTTATTTATGAACATAAATATTTACATAATAAATACACATAAATAAAACATAAATAAATACATAAACATTTTTCAAAATCTGATGTTTTTGTTCATTGCTGTCAACAAATATTTGTCCTAATTTTCATAGCAGACAAATATTTAGTGCAGCTGAGTTACCAAAAAATGCATTAATTTATTGTTAACATCTTCTTGATGCAAGAATGTAACCTGTCTTCTTCTTCATTCCAATCTACTTTAATGTTTTTGAAGGAAGCAAGAACATTTATATTCAACTTATGTTACTGTTTATGTTATTATTTATATATTACTAAAAGGCTGTTAATGTTATTGTATGCATTCCTGTGGAAAAATGTGGACGTTTTGAAGATGATAAATTATTATTTGATGAAACTTGTTTAGGTTTGTGATGACTGAAAGACTCCAAAATGATTCTCCTGAAAAAGTGAAGTGTAGTTTTGAAGTGAACATAGTGATGAGAGTTGATTCATCTGCTGCTTTCTGCTTTATATCATATGACAAGAATAAAACTGGTCCGTTAAACTGATTGTTGAAGTTTACTTTAAAATAAAATGAGACTGAAACTGTTATTTGTCTGTTGTAAGTCATTTCTGCCACAAGAGGGAGCCAGCTCACTGACTGGTAACGTGATACTTGCTTGGTGACTAGAATATAGCAGTAGAAGTAATAAACTAATGTTTATTAGTGTTCCAGGTTGCTGATGGCTCCATGTGGATGTGACGCTGCTGTTGCTGAGCGGCAGTGTGAGGAACAGCTGCTCTGTGATCTTTCATGTTTAATGTTATCTGAACTTCTGTCTGGACTTGTTGAATTGTGGTTCTAACCTGAGTTTATCACATCTCTACACCATAAATGATGCGATCATTTATGTAGCTTTTCAGGTTTTGTTCCCTAATATTTGCTTAAATCTTTTTAAGCTGCTTGCTCACTAAGATTTTGTCTTTTATTAGTCATTCCATAAATAAACACAGTAGTTTGGCTGTTTTTATTCTTTAGTTTTAAACTGGTGGTTCCACATTCATTCGTTGTGTGTTGCAGATAAAAGGCGTTTCCAGCCGAGTTTTTACCCATCAGCAGACTGAGTAGATGCTTCACATGAAGCGCTGGCAGGTCGACCGCTGACAGGAAACAGGAATTGAACCCATGGCTTTGGAATCTGAGCCACAGTCATTGAATCTGAGAGGATTGAATTTAACTTGCTGTTGGGTTAAATTAGATCTGGAGGATTTGATGAACTTTGGTGACAGAACTGTTCCAGCTGGGTTTGAAGCCTTCTGGACCAAAAGCTGCAGGAAGCTGTTCATAACCCAGAGCTGCTTGATCAGGTCGTTGGTGTTCAGTCATGATAACATTGAGTTAATATTGACCAAAAGAGCCGTTCAGGTCAAACTACTTCTGTTTGTCTCCAATGTTGTTCCTATGCACCGGTTCTGGTTCTGTCCGTCCTGCAGCAGGTTCTCTAGTTCAGGTTTCTCCTTGGTCCAGTCGTCCTCCAGCTGCTGCTGTTTTTCTATCATCTGCAGAAAAAGTGACTGAAATGTTGTGGTCTAGTCCAAGCTCAGCCCGGTTCCTGGAGTCTGAATGAGTTTCACTTCCTTGTTGTGAGCCGGGTCTGATCTTAGTGACTGATGAGACGCTCAGAGGAAGTGGGGATCAGTCTGTGCTGCCTCACAGCGGAGCAGCAGCCCGTCTGATGGATCTGCTGAGGACGGTTCTGCTGCTGGTTCTGCTGCTGGTTCTGCTGCTGGTTCTGGTGGGGTCAGAGGCCCAGAACTTGAAGAATGTCACTGTAGAACCGGGTCATAATGTGACTTTAACCTGCTCCGTTAACAGTAGTGACGTCTACTGGTTCCTGAACATCCACAGCCAGTTCAGAGCAGGAATTGGACGAATTCGTTCTTCATCATCACCTATCTTCTGCCAGTCAGAACTTCAGTCAAAGTTCAGCATATCAGGAAACCAGCTGGAGATTACAAACGTCTCTGCTGAGGACAGCAGGCTGTACTACTGTGGGATAAGGCAGAAAGACCAGATTGTTGACCAAGACACCTTCAGTCTTCATCTGTCAGGTGAGAAGCAAAGACTTTTAACTCAGCAGAGTTTCATTAGTTTGGTTTTATGAGAATAGATGAAAACATGGTGGTGAGTTGGGACCTTTATGCAGCTGGGATTATTAGCATGAATAATAATGTTATATTATTGAATTAGCCTTAAAGAAGCTGCACAGCTGAGACAGTCAAGTCAAAGTAAATGTTTAGTGAATGTTGAACCTGATGTTGAATGTCATTAAAACATCTTTAAAATCTGAAAATTGTTTCCTGCACTTTGAAACTGTTTATCTGAAATTAAACGTTGATTCTGTCTCACAATAAGCAAAAAGTAAGCGAGCTTAGTGAACTGTTTGGAAGTATGATGTGTGAATGAAATGAATTTGGTGAACTGTTTGTTGTGAATTAGTCATTCATTATATTCGCATTTTGACTGAAACAGTTTGTTCAGCACTTCTATCAGTTTATCTGCCTCTTAAATCTACTGACTTCCTTCAGTCTGTTTTCTTTTGAAACCTTTCTCAATTACTTTATCATTATAATTTTCTTCCTCTTCAGTTGTTTATCCAACCACATCCGTCCTGCCCGGCCCCTGGTCATCGACCCCCTCCTGCCCCACAGCGGGGCAGTTCCTCCAGCCCCTCATGGCAGTTTCTCTGGGCCTGAACGCCGTCCTGCTGGCTGCTGTTACTGGTGAGAAACTTTACACCCTCCAGAGCTTCGGCTTGAACATTCAGCATGAGTTTCAGTTTGATTTCATTTGTTCACATCTTGGTAAAAATGTTAGTTTTTTCCTGTGTAAATTTTTATTAGTTTAAATATTTAACTCACTACCTCCACAGGTAAATATTTGCCAAACATTGCTACTTAGATTTACAAGCTAAATGTTAGTAAGCTAAATATTTAGTTTAGATCTAGACATCTAGTTGTGAGCTAACTAAACTTTTATTAACTTTGTAAATATTGCTGTTTAGATTGTTTATTTACTTTGGAGCGAAATATTTAATTTACAACTAATAAGCTAAATATTTAGCTCCAAAGTCAGTATTTAGTTAGCAAGCCCACTTTTTGGTTAAAATGCAAATATGTATTTTGAAAGCTACATATTTATCATTAAAGTAAATATTTAGTTTGCTAACAAGATATTTATTTAACGCTAAATATTTAGATTGTGAATTAAACATTTCACCACAAATAAAATCTGTAATTTGAAACTAAAACTATGACTCTGAAAAATGAATCTCCTGTGGAACTTATTAAACAAAAACCTCATAAGAAGCAAGAATTATTTGGTAAATAAAAATCAGCAGAGACAAATCTGTTCAGGTTTTTATCCGTCGAGCATGAACTGATGATCTGAAGACTTTCCTCTTCGTTTTCCTGAGAATCAAGAGTTTTAAAATGCTACATCATAATGACAACAACACGGGTTTTCACAACATTAAATAGAAAACATTAACAATTAATTTAAAATGAATTTATTTTGAAGAATAAAAGTCATGAAATACCAAACACCATAGCTGTGATGTCTGAAAAATGTTGAATGTTTTAATATTTGATCATGTAATTACATGACAAAAACAATCGGTGAGCTGGGATTCGACTTTGTGATGTTTTTGTTGGGTTTGTTTAAAAGTGACTGACTGACTGAACGTCCATCTGCAGGTTTTCTTTGTGTCTATATAAGGAGGAACGGCTGCTGCTGCTGCTGCTGCAGGGCGAAGGACTCTGCAACAAACAACATGGAGAACGACGACATGCAGAACCCACAGGTAACAACCAACCAGCCAGTCAGTCTGAGAGACGATTTCACAGTTCGAGATGCTAAAACCAGAGACTGTTGGTGGGACACCGCAACGTTTTTATGTTCCAGTGGTTCACCTGCTGCTCAGATGCTGCTGCAGCATCATAGGGCAGACGTGTGACAACTTCACCGTTTTCTGTCTGTAGAGGAATTGAGTGGGACAAAGACTGAAACCACCAGCAGTGCCAGTTCTGTCACTAATCAGAGTCAAGTAGACGGAAAACTACAGTTCATCTGGAGGATTTGATGAACTTTGGTGACAGAACCGTTCCAGCTGGGTTTGAAGCCTTCTGGACCAAAAGCTGCAGGAAGCTGTTCATAACCCAGAGCTGCTTGATCAGCTCAAGCAGCTCGGTTAGCTTTGGTTGGATTTACCCAGAATGCCCTGCACTGCAGTCCACTTTCTGCTTTTAGAGCCTCTTGGTCTGACTGGAGTTCACATTCAAACTGAACCAGACCGAGGCTTGGAGGACCAGAGGTCAGAGGTCGATTAGTGTTCACACTGTGCCAACCGACCGGACTTTACAGGCAAATGGACCGGAGTTGGATTAAACTGGACTGATCAGGGCAACGTTTGTCTGTGTGTTGAGTCATCATCTGGAGCAGCCATGATCTGTGTTGTGCAACAGGAAGTCTAGTTTCACTGTGCATAACTATAAATAATTCCTCAGGGCAGTTATTAAGATAATTTAGATAAGAAATGATCAGGTTTAGAAAACATTAAAGAAGTTCAGTCTGAGTTATTCATAAATAACTGCCTGATAGGGGTTCAGTTTCAAATAAGACAAAAGATTATTTACAAAAAGAATTCAAACTTACATTTAAATACTTTAATCAATAACTCTCTAAATAATAACTCAACTAATCTGCTGAGAAAACAATAAACCGTCTCTGGTGTCTCGTTTCAGTACGAGGAGATCCAGCTGCCTCCCACTCTGGTTCCGGTTCCGGTTCGGGTTCCGGTTCGGGTTACATCAGAATGCATCTACTACAAAGCCCAACATCCCAACCCCAAGATGCATCAACACTGACTCACACCTGGGCAGGTGAGCCGGTTCTGGAGCTGCTGCTCCGTCTGAGGAGAGTCCAGGAAGTCCAGGCCTGATTCAGCCAAGCTTCCTGCTTCTGAACGCTATGAACTCTGGGAAATGAGCGCCGGCTGAAGGTGTCTGAGACGGTGGTATTGTTTATGTGAGTGTATTTATTAGTTTCTGTTTTTAGTTTTAATTTTAGTTCCTGTTTCTTTAATTTGGGATGTCAGTGATAATAAAAACAGGATGTCTAAATATCAGATTTGGTTTTCTGTCCATCGCAGCAACGGCCAAAAGTCCCAAAGGCACCATGCTGCTCACTGATTGGCTGGAAGCTCCACCTGCAGGACACAGAACATGTCATCAGGTCTGTGGAAAACAGATCAAACTAGAACAGGAACATAACAGGAAGTCAACAATGAGAAAATAACAAAGATCAGAACACACCAGGAAAATACCTGAATAATTCATAAATAAACCAAAGAGGCTGACAGGAAATAATCATTAATGTTTAAGGAGATACTCAAAAAGACACAAGAATAATGAAAGAACCAAAGGAAACGAGGCTCAAAGTCAAACGTGACGAGTTGTTCTGTTTAGCTTTAGCCGCATTGTGGTTTTTTATTAGCTTAGCTTCAGGAAACACGACCCTGTACTTCCTGTTATGACTGAGGTTATTAATCATCTGAAAAGTTCTTTGTGAAGATCTGAGCACAGTTAACATGGGATGGTACAGAACCTTCTGCCTGGCTCCAGAACCGCTCACTGGACCAACAGAACCAGAAACCTTCATGCATGAAGCACAAGCCAAACTTAGTCACTCCTCACCTCCGACAGAAGTTTTCCATCATTTATTTTTATTTTCTGTTTAGCCTCATAGCTTACTGTATGAGGTCAAAGGTCGTTGAGTTTCATGTACATGTAGACAATGAAAGATTAAAATCATAAATATTGTAATATTGTATTATCGCTCAGCGATGGGTCTTTGTGGTTTGTTAATGCTGCACATCAACCTCCATGTTTTACATGCTGAGCTGCGTTTTGGTTTCTGTGTCTTGCAACATTCACTGTACACTGTTGGTGACTGGAAGGTTCGCCTGAACCCAAACCAGCCCACATCAGAACCAGAGCTGCAGAACTTCCTCCTAACATGAACAGAGCTGAGATCAGGTCTTCATCTCTCCTTCCAGGCTCAGTCAGTCTGACCGCAGCAGAAACAAAATAAAGTGGTAGTTTGCATGTTGACATGCATCATCTGCCCATGATGAGCACAGCGGTTCTGTTCCAGTCCCGTCTGAACCCTCGTGGATCTTTATCAGCTCCATCTGAATCTGCAGACGTCTCGCTGATGCACAGTGACGGTTGCTACATGCACAGAACCAGGCAACCTGCAGAGCAGAACCACAGTCAGACATCCGTGCACAACCGCCGAGCTGCGTCTGGTTCTGATGACACCAGCACTGACCTCAATGTTTGTCACAAGACTTTCAGAAGAGATTTGAAAACCGCGGTGTTTCCTTCACCTCCTGAATAATCAGAGGCTTTCTGTCTGCAGCGTGGAGAAGTGCCAGAGGTTAGACGTGTTGAAAGGGGGTTTCTGTACAACAGCCTCGGTCTCCCTGACCTCATGTCAGTCCGTGTCACCATTTCCTCCATTCAAACGGCTCCAACCTGTAACGCCTCAGGTCGCTGTTACAGGAACTGCTCTGTGTTTCTGCAGCAGCCAGGTTTTCCTCTGAACCTGATGGACGTTTCTCTGAACGCACACGATGGAATAATTCAGGCCAGATGGTTGGTTATGATTTTATAAGCACTGAGACAAGCAGATGGAGATTTATGTGCTTTTTGTCAATATTATGATAAATTTTGGACAAGAAATGAGGACAAATGTGTCCAATTTAGGGATTTTTTAAAAAGCTTTACCAAATAATCTAATTAAAATACGAGCAAAACTATAGCGTAAAATTAAAAGTATTTAATCAGATTGATATTTCAAAAGCTTCTTGTTTGAGGATAATATCAGAATCAGGAACCGAAAGGCTAGCAGGAAGAATCAGACTGTATTTTTAGTTCGCTACATTGAGCAAGTTGAAGGAGCTGCTAACCACAGAGAAGTTTTTATTAATCACAGTGAGTTGAATACTAGAGAACCTGATGAAACCATTTCCTCTTTTCAGCGCCGTCTGAAGGAAACCGAAGGTCAGAGATGATTTCAACGCCGTCAGCATCTGACCTGCTGAGGGTCAGCTGGCGCTGCGTCATCGCTCCTCTCTCAACCAAAGGTCAGAGGTCACACCCAGTTCCCTCGAACTTCCGCTGAAAATTTCTGCTCAGATCTTGTGTTGGTGACCTGCTGACACCGATGCAGAACCACAACCAGAACCACTGAGGTATGGACCCAGCAGTTGGTCCGGTCCCTTCAGAACCAGACGGAACCGGTAAGAGATCCAACAGCTGCAACCAGAACATCGGCTTAACATTGACTCTTAATGTTCTGATGGTCCGTTTGTCACAGCGCTCCAGGAGAACCGAGACCCAGATGCTCCTCTGGCTCCCCCTGGAGGACACTCAGGCTGAACCTTGAATGGTACCAGACATGGTACCGGCCTCATGTGTGCAGAGACCCTAACCCTAACCCACACTCAGAAAACACCCAGACAGTCAGCTGTCCTCTGAGTTAAGGTCAGAGGTCACAGGATGACAGGAAGGCTGATGATGTGGAGAACATTTTCTAGACCCGTTTGGGTCCAGAAAATAAACCCAAATGGGTCTGTTTATCACTCTGATCATCTCCACCTTTCTGACCCAACTGGACCCGTCCGGACCCGTTTCTTCTGTCGGTTGAACTCGCTGTGTTCTGCTGCAGTACGGAACTGATCCACATGGGGGCGCTGTTTATCTGCACATGAAAGCCCAGAGTTTCTGAATTATGTTTATTCATTCAACAAACTTCCAGGCCTTCTGGATCAGAACCGTCCCGGTCTGGAGCTCAGGTCCAGAAGGTTCTGCTTAAGCCCAGAACCTGAAAAATACATCAAATATTATCTGTTTATTCAACTTTATGCATAAAAAAAGGTTTTGTTTATAGTAATGAAAAAGTGGATTTTTATTTTGCAAAATCAGAATGAAATGTTGTCCTTTCAAAATAAAAGCTCTCAGCTCCTTATTTACCAGTACCCAGAACCTTGAGCAGAACCAGAAACCCGGTTTGATCCAACAGGATCAGAGCCGCTGCAGTTCCTCCTGGATCCATCAGGTGGCGCTGGAGTCTGATGGCCCCTTTAAGTGGACCAGCAAACAAGAACCTCATGTCCCTGGTCTGGCGTTCCTCCTGGATGTGTTTCAGGAATATTCCTGTTCCTCTGGAGGTTCTGCAGGTTTCTGATCCGGACCACCAGAACCAAAGGATGGTTCTTCAGGACCCTGGAGAACCTGGTGACTATATGAATATAAAATGTAATTTGGCTTTTCGTGCTGCTTTCAGAGTAATGGCTTCCTCCTCTCTGATTGGCCCTTCAGCTCACATCGGTTCTGTTTCCAACCTGCTTCTGGACCGAACCGGTTCTGGGAGATTATAACTGGACTCTCTTAGAACGGGTTCTGTTAGACAGGTGCTTTATTTTGAAAGTCTGGCGCTGGGAACGTCACTGATCGTTTCGAGTCATTTGATCCTTGAGCGCGTGAGCGGCGCAGAAAGAGGGAGGCTGAGTCCGCCCGCGTGGGGAGGAAGAGGAGGAGGAGGAGGAGGATAAACCCTGCACACTGAGGCACGCGACGGACCGAGAAGAAAGGCTGGGACGTGGGATCGTCCGCGCGCCACTCCGTGGATTGTTCCCGCGTGGAGGAAATCTGCCGCGCCGCGTTTTTCTGCTTCCGCAGCGGAAACTGTTTGATGTGATAAACTGCCTGCCCCTGGCGGGACTCTGCGCGCGCGTGGCGTGGCCCGTGGATGCGTGCCCAGGTGTGTGCGCGCGCGTCCACAGGTAACTCATTAACACCTCCCTTTGTGTTTACATGGAGGAGCGCGTGAACGGAACAGGAAGGAAGCACGAGCCTCTCGGTGTTTGCTGAGCGCGCGCACGCGCACTCCGCCGCACGCGCCGCTCGATGAGGATGGATTTGTGGGATTTCCGACTTTAACCGGATGGATGTTCGAGCTGGAAGAACAGGAAGTTCGGTTCGGAAGGAGGATCCGGGTCCGTGATGGAGAACTTGAGGTCAGTTTGATGAGTTCCAAACAAGATCAGATCATCAGTGATATCGATTGTTTATTGGCTTTATTGATTCAGGTTTAATTGTAGATTGAAATGTTGTAGAGTTTTCGTCTGCTGCTGGTTCAGCTTTAGAATCTCAAACTTTTATAAACTTAATCAGAACATAAAATAAAAATGTAACTGCTTCATTGGTCAAGTTTTTGTTTTCTTTGCCCAGTTTTTATTTTAATGATCACAAGCAAAATATTCAGCTTTTCTACAGTTTGTAAATCATATCTAAAGTCTACAACATGTTTGTTGCTTCATTTAGTGAAACAGCTGGAGGCCCCAGGAATGGGATGGGAGGTTTAGGGGCCACAAACATTTCAGACCAGCTCAAGAAACACCAAATAGAATTAAATATTAGAGATGAACGATAACATTTATTGAAACTGATAACAATCCTGAAAATAAAAATGACCAAAATCAATACTTTATATGAGACCAAAAACAGTCGACTCAGTTTAATGACGCCATAATTTATTATCATCAGACCGATAATTATTGTTTCTAATATGCTCTAATATTGGAAACCGTCTTAGCGCTGTTGGCTAACAGCAGCACTAAGACGGCCTGATTTCTGCTGTTTGGTGAAAAACACAAATAAATGGAGCTTCTATCCAGTTGGATCTCAAGGTTTGAGTTTGGACCGGGGGTTCTGGTCAAACAGCATTAATTACTGGATTAAAACGGACTCAGCAGCAGAGGTTCATTCAGTTGAATGTCCCTGCATAGTTCTGGTATCTGTGTCCACTGGTCCCTGGAAGCTGGACTCTGTCTCTAGTGGACTCTGTCTCTAGTGGACTCCGTCTCTAGTGGACTCTGTCTCTAGTGGACTCCGTCTCTAGTAGACTCTGTCTCTAGTGGACTCTGTCTCTAGTGGACTCTGTCTCTAGTGGACTGCGCCTCTAGTGGACTCCATCTCTAGTGGACTGCGTCTCTAGTGGAC